CCTCCTAGCTAGGTAGGTAGGTAGGAGGTTCTGGATTCGCATCCGCGGCATAGTGGGGCCTTCGCCACTCAGCGCCTTTTTTTTTTTCTTTTTTTTTTTTTTCACTCAACTTTATTCCGAAGCAACTGAGGAGAGGCCGGGGACCTCAGCGCGGTTTTCGTGGGGGCGTTGGTTGCTTTCGCTAACCAAGTGGGTGGCATGTGGCATGTGGCAAATGTGCCTTCGACTTCAGGACCATTTCCATGAGAAAAAACGCGTGAGAGCGAAGTTTTGAATTAGCATACCGGAGAGGGAGAGAGAGAGAGGGAGGGGAGAGAGAGAGGGTGAATAAAAGTGGCGGCGCCACAAAAACGGCAGATGATCCTGTTCCAGCTGTTTCGTGTTTTACTGGGCGTGGAAGCGTTTTTGCTGATTTTGGTTCTCATCTTAGGAGGCTGTATGTTTGCAACCTGCTGCAACAGTTCGCAGCGCTATTTTTCTCGGATTTTTTGAAATTTCTCGAATTTTCTTAATAGTACGTCTTTTTTTACTTTCTTCGAATATTTGCCATTATTTGCAAATTTCGGGAAAATTTTATACCAGTTAGATGTTTCTGCAATTGATTCATCCATGTTAGCGTTTCGAGGGATATATAGAGTGTCCCAAAAAAAAAAAAAAAAAAAAAAAGGATATATAGAGTGTTACCCGCCGTCGGGCCAGACTGATATAGGACTGACAACCCATGGTTATGGTTATTCTCCAAAGGATGAATTTGCGATTTTTTAGTTTTTTATTTGTTATTTTTTTAGAATTTGGGAATTGTTTTCCCCAGTCCTCGTGGCTTCTGAAAACTTAGTCGTAAACGCTGGTGACACGGCATTTTATTTTATTTTTTTGCACTTTCTTTTTTTTGCTTTTTTTTTTTTTTTGCTTTTTTTTTTAACTTAAAAAGGCTAATTCTTTAAGCCCAACCAATTCGATTACCTGGCGACAGCCACGGGATACCACAGGTAATTCAGCATTATTTCATGCTGGTCAGCTGGTCGCAGCGGGATTCGAACTTGGGTCCATATACTTCAATCAACAACAGTTCATGGGTGTACCAACTGAGCTACTACCGCCCATCGGTAGCGGCAAGATTTGCGGGTGGCAGCAAGGTCTGACAAAGGCGGGAGTGGAACCAATGACAGGCATCGGGACCAAGATTGGGATCGCAGTATAAGGAGTAGGGAACGGATCCGAAGTAGGGGAGTAGGGAGCATGCAGTAGTGCGTGAACATGGGCGTGGGGACAGATATGTAAGAGAGGGAGAAGGGCCAAGTCTTCCTCTTTGACACGGGCTGGTTCGCAAGCGGCACCGGAGTAGGTAGTTGGAGGCGCACCTTGATGATCTCCGCGAGATTACGAGTGAAACGCGTAGGGGCGCGCATCACCGCGTTCTCCATGTGTCATTTGGACATGTACCAGTGCATCTACGAGTGATCAATGATTGGTCTCTTGCTCTTCAACGTGCTTGATTTACTGGTATTTGGTTAAACCAGTGGGGCGCCGCAGTGGCGTCAATGTCAGATGAGCGAGGGTATACCGTGGCTGAGGTATGGTACATGCAGTTGGTGACCGCGTCACAACGAGGCAGGTAGCACTGACTCTCGAAGTTAGATCGCTTCAAGCTTTGATCACTTGTTTGGTCAGTTCAAGATTAAAAAAAAAAAAAAAAAAAAAAAGGGATTGATATATAATATATGTGGACGGCAAGGGTGACGTAGGAGGGTAATAGGTGGAGAAATAGGTGAGGATGTTAAATCCACAGAGGAAGATGACATCGACAAAATGCTAGGCGTGCGAAGCCGAAGGACACATGACACGGGAGTGTCCGTTGAAGCAGAAGACTCCGGCTGCTGCCGCGACGAGCTACACGTATCAAAGGAGAGAATACTAACGATGCCAGGAGAGTAGAATAGACAGACAGACAATTTTTTTATTTTTATTTTTTCTGAGAGGGCAGGAGGAAGATCAAAGGATGAAGGAGAGAAGCGAGAGAAAAAAGAGGGGAGGAAAACTGAAGTGGCTACAATAGGGTGGGAGAGGAGAGAGACGGGTATGACAAACGAGCTCCCAGGCATCGGAGGCGAGAGTGATATCGGACTTCTCAAGGAGGTTCACTCTATATACCGAACGAGGTGGGGGGTAGTGGGGGGGGAGAGAGAGAGAGAGAGAGAGAGAGAGAGAGAGAGAGAGAGAGAGAGAGAGAGAGAGAGAGAGAGAGAGAGAGAGAGAGGGATTGGGAATGAGGACGGGGACGCGAGAGAGAACAAGAAGAAATGAGAGAGAGAGGATGATTTTGAGAGGGCCAAACCACGTCAAAGAGAGATGGAGGGTGAAGTAGAATTTTTGAAAAGGGAGCTTGCGAGAGCGAGTGTGAGAGAAGATCAAGACTAGATAAGAATTCTTAGGCCAGCCTCCAACAAGGAAGAGACTGTGAACCAGTCAATAGAGAAATTGACAGATTGAGAGGAGAAGAAGGAGAGATTATGGAAGGGCAAGGCAAAAGAAGAAGACAGTAAGCAATGGCCAGATTGCTCTTCACACGCAATCGAAAATTTCCATACTTGCAACCGCACCGTGCGCCGTACCCGCGGCAGTTTCCCTTTTTTTGGGTTTTTTGTTTTTAGCTGTTTTCCTAGATACAGAAGATAGCAACACCTTCAAAAAACAAAAAAAAAGGTTGCAACACCTAAGGCACAGGTCGGGACATCTGTTCAAATTGGAACGATACAGAGAAAGACGATTTTTTTTTTATTTTTTTTTTTAATTTATTAGCATGGCCCCTGCGCAAGGATGACACACATAAATCGAGAGATGGTCTTACGGTCGTACATATTTTTCTTTCCGTCCAATTCGCAGCCCGTAGGTAGGGTCTACGTTTACCGCCCTTCACTTTTGTCGTTTTGTGTTGAGCAGGGTGGTGGTCGTTGGGCACATACCGGGGCTAGGTCCCACTTGCACGAATTAAGAGAACAGAGACCGTAGATAGCCGAGATCAACGGCCGAAATCTCCTAATCCGTGCAATCCGTGCAAGTGGGACCTTGCCCCCGGTAGGCGGGGAGCGCGATGGTAGTTGGGAATTGCTTGTGTGGATGGGTCTAGGAGGGGTTCGTGGGCTGTTTTTTTTTTGTTTCCTGGGTAGATTCACTGCCATATTTTCTGTCTTTCGTACAAGTGGTTGTACACGTGGTCGGTAGTGAAGCGACGTCCATCATATGTCCTCGGTACAGCCGACGGATGTATCTGGCTGCAGTCAACGTTGACATTAAATCAGGTCACCAGCAAAAAAATATATGTTTTTTTTTTTCTTTTGCTGGTGACCTTATGGAAGGTCAGCATATGTGGTTGTTACACCCCTCGTAGGTAGTAGCAGCGTTGAGCTTCCCCAAAGCTCGAATCTGGACTTGTGGTGATGAACAGAAGAGTGTGCTGGGTTTCAGCAGCTGCACATCTTCATAAACGTGTCCAGACTCGGGCACTAGTGATGCTTTTTTGTTTTGTTTTGTTTTGTTTTGTTTTGTTTTGTTTTCTTTTATTTTAGACCTCATTTCACAACGGAGAAGGCATCAACGGCCATCCTAGGGTGAACTAAGGGGCACCTGTTTTTCATATCTCTGCACTGTCTGATGTGTTTCCCTTTTCTTGACTCTCTTGCTGTTTTGAACCAACGATCTTAATCTCCTCTTACTGAGCTGGAGCACTAGGGTGAACTTTTTTTCAGTTTTGCTTTTTCTTTTTTTGGGTCTTTGCTGGCTCGAACCTGCGATCTCAATCTATTCTCCCTCTTTCTCGCAACTCAGTCTGTGAAGGCCCTCGATCTCAAGACCTATGTCTGGTACTTTGTGTTTCCTTCGCTGGCTTCGAATGAATGTACTTTTGGCTATCTGTCTTTTTCCAGGGTCTTCGCCTTTGGCCCGGTAGATGATCCCTTTCGGAGTTACTTTTCTTTGGGTTCGAACTCGCAGCCTGCCGAGGCCCTTTTCTTATTAGAGGTCTATTTGGGTACGCGACTTCTAGATGTTACTTTCGGACATTCTGACTYAGCTCCTGGCTAGTTTCTCGTCCAGTTTCTTTCAGGTGGCTATGTTTCCGAAGGTCTTCGAAGTTTTCTGATCTTACCTTGGTGACTATCGGTTGTCGACGCCTTCTTTAAATTGATAGCTTGATACGTCAGTTGGCAACCTGTCGTGACGAAGACCCCTGACGATTCCGGTGCGGCGACCGGATGAAACGTAGGGTCACACACCGTCATGTCCGGCATAGATGTTGACGAGGTCAGGCTTGATGCCTGCATACGTGTCGGACACTTGGAGTTGAGCTATGTTGACCAATTGTTTGAAGCTCATTGGGTCGCGTTCGGGAAGACTCTGACGTGTCACTATCGATTTTCTTTCTTCTACTTTGTCTGATTCTTTCTTTCCTACTTATATGTTTCTTGTCTGTTTCTCTCACCTTTTGACTATGTATTGTGACATGTGGTCTTTGTCTGGGGTGCATAGGCCATGTTGGCCGAGTTTTGTTTTGGTTGTTAATACGATTCGGATTCATTTGCAGGTTATGCTGAATAGGCCGCTGACGGCCGACGTCTGGATATCCCTGGCTAATAATGATGCTTGTGTGATGTGTTTACACTTTGCGTACTTACCATCGATTTAATGCTGGAACCACCGCAGGAATTGGACTACGTGTGTGTGACTCGTGGCTTGCTCCATTCTTTAGCTTATGTTATCTGGACGACTGATTCTTCTCTTGTTTTTGAAGTTTTAGGATCTATGGCGGGAGTCCCGCCTAATCAAGGTTGTTTTACTTGTGGATCTCTCCACCATTGGAGTCGGGAATGTCCGCAGAGATCTCATGGCTTCCGACCACCAGCTACGGGGGCTAACGCTATTCCCACTTCAACTCCGTTACTCGCTCTTCCTGCGCCCAACGCGGCTCCAGCTCCTGTGGTTAACCAAGCTGCCTCTGGTTCTGCGGGGAATTCTGCCTTCATCTATCAGCCTCGTCCAAGAACTAATTGGTGGAAAGATAACCAGGAGCGGCTGGATAAGGTCTATAACAAGTTCGTGGAGGATGAAGAAAAAGAAAGGAGACGTCAGGAGCAGGAGGAAAAAGATAAAGTTAAGAAGGAGGAGACTAAACGGAGTGAATGGAAGAAAGAAAGAGAGCGGTTGGAAGCAGAAATGTCTACCAGACTCGACAAACGTTTCGAAGAACTTGGTCTCAAGAGGAAGGAGACGAAGACAGCAAGGGTCCATCTGATGAAGTCACGCGTTTGAGAAAAGAGAATGAAGAACTGTTAAGAAAGATCGGTGGTGTTGCAAATAACTATGGGATGGATGATGAGTTGGCACGCCTTAAACGAGAAAACGAGGAACTGAGGAAGCGACTCAGTGGGGAAAGTATTAGTCAGGATGGAGACTGTGTCTCTCGGCTCCAGAAGGAGATCTGTGAGTTGCGCAAGCAAGTGGGAAGCGAACAAGCAGAGAGTGACGAGATTTTTGTCTTAAAACAAGAATTGGGCGAACTCAAACAATCAGCCTACATGAAGACTAACTTTGAGCAAGAGATTGCTGGGCTACGTAGGGAAGTCGACTCTCTACGCAGAATGAACGAGAGGGCGATGAAAGAAACTAAGCAATGGAAGGATGAGGCCCTGAGGCCGGGTAACAAGCACGGCAGTGTGGTGGTTGATACACCAGGTACTGATCATAGAGGTAATCTGAAGCCGAGATGGATAGAAAGCATGAAAGATGACAACAGGTGGAAGAAGGAATACAAGAAACTACAAGGACTTCATTGACTGGTGAACGTGGAGGCTGAACTCCTAAAAGAGAAACGAGCGACTGCCGAGGTGAAACGAATGGATGCAGAAATGCAAGTAAAGGAGTTGGAGGAGAAGATGAGTCGTCTGAAGGCGGCGGAGGCTGGGAATGAACAAGAGGGGGGTGGTACTAATCTCAAGGACCGTTTAAAAGCTGTGGCGTTAGGGTCAGCACGAAGGGGAAGGAAAGTGACACCGGAAAGAGGCTCCTCGAAGGAAGACCAGGCGTCTAACGAGGTTAATGATCGCTTCCAATTCGTGGAAGAACAGAAAAAGCAATTGCGTAATCTCAAGAAGACGGGTCTGGAGCTAATGTGCAAGGAAGCAGGAATTCGAACGGGAAAAGTCGATCTGATGGTTTGCGAATTAGCATAATTTCGGGTTGAGCAGGCTTTTGGGCCTGAACGAGCTAAGGATCCAGTATCCAAAGGTAAACAGCCGGTGCACGTGGTAGAGGATGATTCGGGGCAGAGGGATGTCAACACCTCTGAGGAAGGAGATGAGAAGTCTATGGAGTTGTGAGGTGAGTACCCGAACGTAGCTAAGTTGTGGTTGTTGGTTGATGACTGTCGAAATAAGCGTAAAGGGGTGGACTTATTGCCACATAAATCCTCTGTCCTATCTAATGACGGTCAGGTACATGATGATGTGTCTTTCTCCTCTGTCCTTCCCGCTCCTCCTACTCCGACCTCTCTTGACTCTTCTTCCCCTTTGGCCTCGTCTCTGCCATGCAAAATCCTCTCCTCTACGGTCCCAGCTCTCCTTGATGATTCAATTTGTTTCTTGCATGATAAAGCTTTTAATGACTATTTTCGGTTATTAGTGATCGGACTTATTCTGAAAGGACAGGTACCTTGGGCTTACAAGATTAAGGACTATATAGTGGATCTGTTAGGGAGTGGTTATAATTTTGAAAGTTGTCAGGGTCCTTTGGTGTACGTTCTCATTTCTCCCTGAACACGACACATGTATGTGGGTTCAACTACGCGGGAATTGCCGGTAAGATGGGGTGAGCACGTATACAGGGCACTGAGCCAGGGTAATGTCGAAGGAGGGCACCGTAACCATAAGTTGTACACGTGGATGAGATGAGGACGGGTTGGGGACTATGTGGCGTTACCACTGTTTCGATGTGATTTGGCTGATATTCTGCATTTCGAGGGTTACATTATTAAACTGTTGTGTCCGTATCTCAATAGTCGTGAGGGAGTTGGGAGGAAGAAGCGATGTCGGAAGGGTAAGCAGGAAAGGTTAAGATTTAAAAAGAAGGAGGCGGTAATTTCGGGATCTGGGGTCTCACAAACTCATTTGATTTTCCACCCTACCTTTGGCAATAGATATGCCCGACTGTCCTTTATTCTAGACCAATGCCTCTCTGTGCGCATCTCGTCGGTGGGTATTGTGTGCTCTGGGGGAGATCTATTTGCAGAGAATTGGAAGGTACTAAAAAGAAGGTTTGGTTCTTTTTTGATTACGGTAGATGGGCACACGGAGCTTTTGAAGAAAGGGAAACGGATGTTTAGATCCGGTAAATATATCTATGTCTCTATGATTGTTCCCTTCATGTGTAAGTCCTTGATCTTGAAGCCATCTTTGGCTGCCTTACTGTCCAATCCTGTCTCTATAAAGGATTTAAAAACACGGGATTTCTCTGTTCTTGTTCGTGCTGTCTCAGCTATCTGATGTTTTTCGGAGAAACGGAGTCGTTTCCTTCTCAGGTTGATCCTCTCTGGTGTGATTAAGCGAAGGTTTGGCTGTAATATCAAACGAGGCTTGGTGATCAAAGTTACATACGACATGACTCTGAGTAAGCCTGGAATTCGATCCCTTTGCTCTCGATTGGTCATGAGTGTTGAGGGAAATGAGGAATGGAAGAAGATGGTAGTACGGAGGATGAGGATTGTTTGGAAGAAGAACAAAAGTGTGAGGGATATTTTGTTTAATTTTAGGGGATTTGCTCGGGGCAGTGATGTCTTGTGTGTGTGTTCTACGATGACAGTTGGATTCCCTCGGGTCAATGGTCATATTTGTTTCCGTTTGAACGAATTTGTTGAGACACCGTCGTGGCTGCGAAACAACAGGATTGTGGTTCGGCCCTGACAGTTGATGTGATTGGCCGTTTGAAGAAAGAAATCGGTCCTTCTTTTGATGAGATGAATTTTCCAAGTCCTACGCTGCCGAGAAGAGATATGGTTGACTGCACGAAGGAAACACGGGAGAATGGCCTTGGTTGTTGCTCTGAGGATGAGGTGGCTCGTTGGAAGACGTTACTGGAGGGCCTGGTAAGAGTACCAATCGACCACAACCCAAGGGACACACTGGTGTGCTGCCCAGTGCGATATCGTGAAGGTATGAATACTCTTTTTCTGAAGAATCCTGGTTTCAGTATTTGTGAGGAAGGAGAACAATCTCCGCTATGCGAGGCCAAAGAAGAGTACATGCGACGAGGGCTATCTCGTTTAGCTACATGGAATTCTACGGGTGAACCAAGGAAAAACTTACGCCATTCCTAAACACAAAGATAATCTAAGGTGGCGTCCTATTTGTCCCTCATTTTCGGAGTGCAACGTTCGTGCCTGCAGGAAAGTCTCGCGATGTGTTAAGGGGATGATATGAAGTTTACCTCGACGTTCAAATTTTAACTTGAAATGTACCGCTATGTTGGTGGAATCACTTGCTGAGGATAATAAGGATATGGGAAGGAATGAGGAGGTACTCACAACAGCCTTTGACATCAAAAAAATGTTCTGCAATCTTCCACATGGCTCTATCTTGAAGGCACTCAGTTGGATTATAGAGTTTTGGGAAGGACGAGGGGTAAGAAGTGTGTTGCTGAAGAACAGAGGGAAAGAGGGTAAACTGCAAGCTGGCAATAAGCAGGAAGGATGGCAGACGGTTGACTTCGACCTCATCAGAGTGTTTGTGGGTTTTGATCTGGATCGTACCTACACTACTGCGTGCGACCGGGTTTTGAAACATAATGTGGGGATACCGATGGGCAAACCCTCCAGTCCAGCCATTGCATGTCTTTTATGTGCTTTAGCTGAATTCTCGTTTTTGGTGTCTTTGGGTTACGACCGACGTCTCATTCATGGTATTCGCTTGATTGATGACGTGTCAGTTTTTGTCAGATATCTGAAAGACGATGAATGCTCCAAGGCGAGGGCGATTGACATACTTAGGAGTTTTGAGGCTTGCTATGATTGCAATTTGAAGCTGGAATGCATGAGCAAATCGGATGAATGGGATTTCCTAGGATGTACTCTCAGCAACTTGGGATGGCCTATCTTGTCAAAAGGTATTTGCTTTCAACGCATCCAGGACAACTGTTTTTTCATAAGCAAGCAACAAAAAATTGCTGTGGTGGGATCTTTGATGCATCAGGCAAAAAGGTTCATGAGTATGCCCTTCGCGGAGGCTAGTTTTCTCCTAAAATTGAAGGTCGAACTGAGTATGCGAGATTTCAAGGATGAGATTTTTGATCAAGCTTTGACCAATTTCTCCCTCAAGTTCGGTGGTGTCTGGGATGATTGGGTTGATTGCCTAACAGGATGGGACCGCCTTTTCAAGTGATTAAGTTTTTAGGGGGGCCCTAGATCTACTCTGTTTTCTTTCGTTCAGAAGGGTTTTCCTGTCTTCCTTCCGTCTTTTATGAGTTTAGCCTGTTATGAGCTGGAGTACTAAGGGGCACCTGTTTTTCATATCTCTGCACTGTCTGATGTGTTTCCCTTTTCTTGAGTTTCTTGCTGTTTCAAACCAACGATCTTAATCTCCTCTTCCTGAGTTGGAGCACTGGGGTGAACTTTTTTTCGGCTTTGCTTTTTCTTTTTTTGGGTCTTTGCTGGCTCGAACCTGCGATCTCAATCTATTCTCCCTCTTTCTCGCAACTCAGTATGTGAAGGCCCTCGATCTCAAGACCTCTGTCTGGTACTTTGTGTTTCCTTCGTTGGGTTCGAATGAATGTACTTTTGGCTATCTGTCTTTTTCCAGGGTCTTCGCCTTTGGGCCAGTAGATGATCCTTTCGGGGTTACTTTTCTTTGGGTTCGAACTCGCAACCTGCCGAGACCCTTTTCTTATTAGAGGTCTATTTGGGTACGCGACTTCTAGATGTTACTTTCGGACATTCTGACTTAGCTCCTGGCTAGTTTCTCGTCCAGTTTCTTTCAGGTGGCTATGTTTCCGAAGGTCTTCGAAGTTTTCTGATCTTACCTTGGTGACTATCGGTTGTCGACGCCTTCTTTAAATTGATAGCTTGATACGTCAGTTGGCAACCTGTCGTGATGAAGACCCCTGACGATTCCGGTGCAACGACCGGACGAAACGTAGGGTCACACGCCATCATATCCGACATAGATGTTAACGAGGTCCGGCTTGATGCCTGCTTACGTGTCGGACACTTGGAGCTGAGCTATGTTGACCAATTTTTTGAAGCTCATTGGATCGCGTTCGGGAAGACTCTGACGTGTCACTATCGATTTTCTTTCTTCTACTTTGTCTGATTCTTTCTTTCCTACTTATCCGTTTCTCGTCTGTTTCTCCCACCTTTTGACTGTGTATTGTGACATGTGGTCTTCGTCTTGGATGCATACGCCATGTTGGTCGAGTTTTGTTTTGGTTGTTAATACGATTCAGATTCATTTGCAGGTTATGCTGAATAGGCCGCTGACGACCGATGTCTGGATATCCCTGGCTAATAATGATGCTTGTGTGATATGTTTACGCTTTACGTACTTACCATCCTAGGAGCATTTTCGTTGAAAACGCAATCTGCCTGTCCGATCAGGGGAGTGGACTTGACGTCGTTGTATGCAGTTATTACCCTGGGGATGCATGTGACTGCAGTCATGTCTAGAGGTGTGAGTGGAAAAACGTTGTCCTCCAGGAAGGGGTTGGTAGCCACTAGGGGCTAAGAGCCCACGTTCTGCGTCCTCACGGTATGTCAGTTGGGCATGAGAAATTATCTACCGCGTGAGCGCGGGGAACACATCCTTAAGGTAGCCAAAACAATGAGACTAAGAGCGCATGCAAAAGAGAGAGAGAGAGAGAGAGAGAGAGAGAGAGAGAGAGAGAGAGAGAGAGAGAGAGAGAGAGAGAGAGAGAGAGAGAGAGAGAGAGAGAGAGAGAGAGGGGCTGAATGGCAAAATTGAAATATGGGTCAAATTGCGGCTGCGATCTATTTCACAGTTGGTGTGATTTTTAAAATTTATTGAGCGTTTTTCCTAGAAAGATCACAACAAAATCTACGAGTACTCCAATTTTCTGTTTTTTTTCGCGCATTCTTCGGAGCGCGAAAACTCACTGAATTTGGAGTGCTTTTTCAGTTGGTCTACACGTGACTGAGTGGCGAAAATGGAAAATCGTCGAATCAGTTCGATGATTCTTTCGCAGTCTAAATGATTTTTTGAAAATGTTCTAATATTTTTCTTGGAAAGAACCTGCGCTCATCTATGGATTCGCAAAATTTCAGATTTTTCTGCGGGTTCCTCCGAGTACAAAAAATCACCAAAGTTGCCTGATGCAAAACGTCTGTTTCGTTGCGCCTGACCTCCCTGTTTTGGAAAGACGGGCCTCAATGCCTGGGCCTGATGGCCCTTTTGCAGTTCACATGCCCTCACTTATTTTGGGGGTCCACTTCTACCCGAGGACCGGTCCTTCCTTTTTCCAAAAGTCCCGGTTCTACCCGAGCTAGCTGTAGGTAGTCCGCAATTTTGTCAAGTACTGGTCCCCCAAATTCCCCCCCCCCTTAACGATACCTTTGCATCCTGGTCGCCCACCGCCGAAAATGCAACACCTTGACACAGACGCCGA